CCTTACTGTCAACGCTATTATTTCAGAGATATCTGGTGTGTGATTTCCAGTTTCCTCAGTGCTAGTGTCTTCTGCATTTGTACTGGGTGGACTCAAGGCCTGAGACTGCATTTCGTTCCTTCTCTTTGTCATTTTGTATACCACGGTCTTCTGACCTTTGGTGTAGAGCTTAGATAGTTATTACCTTAGCACCAGGTCTGGATCTACGAAGTTCCGATTCCTCCAGGTGGGTGTTGCTTGGATCTGGCTGTTGTGCTCCACTTCTTTCTGCTGCAGCCATTAGAGTTGAACCCTTTGTGTCACTCTGGCAAAATGTTCTGCTCCTGAATCAGCTGGGTGGGTCTTGCCTCTAGCCTCTTTGCAGGGAGTTCTGCTGAAGGGTTCCTTGCTGGGCCTGCGCTCTGGGTCAAATGAGGATCCCCAGCCCCGGGTTGTCTCACTCACTCCCCGGGCCTGCGCTCTGGGTGTATTCAGGATCCCACGGCCCTCGGTTGTCTCACTCACTCGCCGGGCCTGCGCTTTGGGTCTATTCAGGATCCTGCAGGTCCCTGTTTGTCTCACTCACTTGCCAGGCCTGTGCTCTGGGTCTATCAAAAGCTTAGTTCATTAATAAAAGTTTTAATTATGATTTTTCTCCCTTACTTAGTCATAATTACTTGACTTCTTTTTCTCCCACTCCCCCTTTTTTTTTGTATTTTTTAGGGATGGGTCTACAAGTTATTCAGGGTCTCACTATTAGATCGGATTCATAGTGATCTGCCTGCTTACAGCCTCCCAAGAGCTGGGATTACAGGTGCGTGTCACCATGACCAGTCCCCATTGCTGTCTCAGCGTGCCCTGGGGGCAGGGCCAGCATGGCAGGCCCAGGAATCAAACTTCTAGCCCCTGAGCCTGCTTACAGGCACTTTAGTCCACTGAGCTATTAGGCTGGCCTCTGAATTTTGTTTTAAGATTTTCTGAAAGATATATCAAACTCCTGAGCAATTTTTGCAGCGTGAACTCCCAATCATGAGAAATATTCATTTCTTTTTGGCTGGAATGATTTTCTCTAATATGGATTGTATAAATCTTCAGGGTAGGGTTTGGTTTTCTGTATCTTTTCCCCATTGCTGTTACAGGTATGTGACAAAAACTATGAAGCACAGTGTGAAAACTGTGGGGATTAAGAGTTTGAATTTTAGTAGAGTCCACCAGACTGACCAAGTAGACTGCCTTAACATCTATATCTGGGGTTTCATATCTGTAAACAAACAGAAAACAAAACAAAACAAAACCTACCCTTGAGGGCTGTTCTATGGGCTCAATGAGATATAAAAGCATATTAAGTTTAATATGAAGCATTTTTATCAACCATCTCAAATTATTTATCAATTCAAATAAGCACACAAACAATTAGATCATCGTAAGTAGCAAGTGAATGGAGACTTACTACACACACAACCTTTTCTATTGTCACCACACATGTAATGATAAACAATTAACCAGGTAAGTTGGTGCATTCTTGTAATTCCAGCGCTCTTGGAGGCTGAAGCAGGAGGATGAAAAGTTTGAGCCCAGCCCAGGCAACTTTGAGACTTAGCCACACCTCGGCTCAAAATAATAATAATAATAATAATAATAAAATTTAAAAGGCTACAGATGTTGCTCAGTGCAAAGGCCTTGAATTTAATCCCTAGTACTGCCCCCCGCCCCCGTTCCCAAAATTCATTTTTTTTGTGGCGGAACCGGGGATTGAACTCAGATCCTTGTGCTTGCCAGGGAAGCGCTTATCTACTGAGCTATCTCCCCAGCCTCTCAAAATTCCTTTTGTACATAAACAACGAATTAAAAGCTCTTAAATGGCCAACAACTAGCATGTGGGGTCTCGTGATCCTATCGGTGCGACCAACTGCAAATTTTGTGCTGCATTATTCATTCTCACTGGTCTATCAAAAAAATGGAACAACGCTGCATTTCTCCCTTCACAGCTTATTATATCTGCAAAGAGCCTTCCGTGTGGGATTCCCATCTCCCAAGAATCCCTTCGCTAGGGGAGAGGAGGGGAACAGAGGTCACCTGCCAAGTCGCCTTGGCTCTGAGGAGGCAGCTTCCTGACACTAGGATCTTCAAGACGGTATGTGGACCAGCCTATTCCTCACCATCATGCTTCACTCCTCCTGTGATGGTTATTTCTCCTAGTCCGCGACTTGCCTTGCGAAGTTCTGTCCTCATTAATTGAATAGCCCGAACATTCTCACACACCCAAACCCACGGACACCCGCAGCCCGAGGAAACTCCCGTAGGGCTCCAGCCAGCCCTCAGCCACGCCCAATCGGTCCATTTCTTCATTACCAATCAGAGCTTCCCAAACGGCCAGGCTAGCCAATTCAAACAAGCCAACATGCTCAGGACAAATAGCGCTCCGGAGCGCAGGGTCCCGGCTGGGGGGCGGGACCCGGAGGGTGTGATCAGCTCCGACCCGGAGCGTGCGCTGCCCTCCAATTGGCTGCGATCTGCACTGACTTAGCGCTCATTGGTTGGCGCCGGTGGCTAGGTAAGTCCGCCGGACTGTATCGACGTGTTGTTGGCGGAACTGCTTGGTGAGTCTGCCCACGCTCGGAGCTGCCGGCAGTCTCAGGTTTGGACGGGAACTGCCCGGGAGCCGAGGCGGGATCGGGGCGGCGTGGGAGGAGGGATGAGGTGCCCCGCGTCTCCGAGGTGCCTCCTCCGTGCCCTTGCGGCGGCGGCGGGGAGAGCGGGCGGTGGGGTTTGGCGGGCGAAGGACCCCGCGGGCCGCGGCGGGGAGGAGGAAGGCGCCCGGCCCCGCGCGCCGCTCTGAGGACCGCGGCGCCGTTTCGGCCTCAGTTTCTCCGTCTGTTGGCGGTGGGGCGGTGATAAAGTAGCGAAGCCTGGATCCCGGCAGGATACAACCGCCTCCTGGCTCTCAGATGCTTTGACTAGGAGCCCATCCCTGCCGCACCCAGCTTTGGCAGAGAGGATGTTTGTGACCCGGAGCCACCTTCCCAGTGCTGTCCCCCCAGTACCTACCCCGAGTAAGAGCTCGGGTGGTTCCCAGTGAACCACTCGTCTTTTGCATTCGAGAAAGGTGACTGGAGACTTGGGCTCAGCAGCCAGACACAATGGTTGCTTATGGGGATCAGGTTTTGTTTTTTTTTTTCAATGGAAAATCTTTTCCAGGATCAGCTTCCAGCATAGACCTTTAGACTGTAAAGCTGAGATTAGCTTCCAGCACTTCCTCAAGATTTTTAGACTCAGGTCAGAAGCTCAAGGCTGAATTTTGGTTCCATGAGCTGTATTATCTTAGACAAGTGACTTTTATCTCTCTGTTGTCATTTTCCATTACTGTTCTCGGATAATGGCAGAATGGAAGGTCATGTATGAAAATGAAATGAAAGATAAGGTCACCAGGATGATAAACTGCATATTAGATAATACATATTAAAATTAGTTTTTAATATAGACTTAGAGCATTAATAACTGGAACACTTGATTTGAACTCAAAATTAAAGCTGTTATGTCATTAAAATTTAAACGCAGTGTTCAACGTTTTAAAAAGTCTCAATATTATAAAGCTGTTAAGTCAAGATTAGTCCTCAGAACACAAGATCATGCAGAACTGGTATTCCATGTGTATTCCTTTAAACAGTGAGCCCTGGAAAGGGCCAGTCTCAAAAGTGAGAAACTACTGGACCTGACTGAATTTGAAAAGTCACATTATCAGCCAAGATTTACTGAAAAACAAGCATATGCCAAAATTTTTATGCAACAAAATATAATTTAATATGCAGGGCTTGGGTTTGCATATGTTATACAAGGTCTGCGACATGTTACGTTGAAATTATTCGCATATGAGAAAACAATTATTAGTCAAATAATGGAAGGTTAGTTATGATGTGTGTTCTCAGTCACATTACATAAGTGCAGATTCTGTTACTGACTTTATTAGAGGTGATTATTAAAAATGTTTCATATTTAAAAGAGAATTCATTGTCATTTCACCTGTGACATATTTTGAGAATATTTGTAGGAGATTGGTCAAGAAAATGGTGCTGATAGATGGTGTCAGGAAGTTCCTTTTCCTTGAGAAATTGTCTACTCTATGTCTCTTATCATGTTCATTCAGAAATGTGGACATAGAAAACATGAAAGTTAATTTCAGAAAAGGTCTTAGGGTGGACATTATTCAGCACTTTTTCACAGAATGATAGGACTACATAATCATTTATATGGACTTGCTAGATTTTGATAAGGTTAAGTAGTGCCCATTGACAATGTGTTAGAATTGGAGAATTTCAGAAATAGAAATAAAAGATTGAATTAGTCAGTGGCAATTTAGAATGATATTTAAAACATTTTCCATAGTTGGAGATTGAAGGAGGGTGAATTATGTGTGTTTTTCTTTCAGTTAATCTAAGTGCTTTTATATTTGGAGAAAGCCAAAACTTTCATAAACCCACCACTCTCCCTTCCTTCTTGGTTCTGAACTGTATTTCCGGAGAAAGTCACTTGTGGACTAGTCACACACAGCAGTTTAGACAGTGACTATAATTCCATTTTGGACTTACTCTTGATTAAAATAAATTTTCCAAGAGTTAATTGGCTGATTAAACACTTTGATGGAGTAAAAAGAGCCTTCTGATCTTGTTTCCTTATCGACCTGCTACAGTACTGTCCTCAAGGAGACATGTGTTAGCCTTTTCCTCACTGTGACTAAATATTTGACTGAAACTTCCCAACAGGGCAAAGGTTTACTTTGGATCACCATTTTAGAGGTCTCAGTCCATGGCGCCCTGTTGTTTTGGCCTGTGGGAAGACAAAAGCATAGTCAAAGGACTGGCAGCTCACCTCACAGTGGCCAGAAAGCAGAGAGAGGGAAGGAGCCAAAGAAGAGGGACCAGGGACAAGATACTGTCCCCAAGGTCATGTGCCCATGATTTATTCCCTTCAACTAGACATAAAAGGGCTCATCAGCCATATTAGAAAAAGCTTGAATTTTAAATTGCTCAATAGATGTGAATGATTAATAATACACTTTGAAGTTGCAGATTTTCATCTTTCTAGGTAGCTTTTATTTTTTTTTATCTGTACTGGATTTATGTGGAGATAAATTTATGTTTGATTATTGAACTCAACAGCTCAGCGGCATAAACGCCTGATACTCAAGGTCCCGAGTTTGATCTCCAGTACAAAGAAGCAACAAAACAAACGTGTGTGTGTGTGTGTGTGTGTGTGTATATATATATATATATATATATATATATATATATATATATATATATTTGTTTGTTTTGCTTGTTCTTTATATATAGCCCAGCCTGGGCAATTGAAAGAAATAATGCTAGGGATACAGCTCAGCACAGCACTTGTCTGGCAAGTGTGAGGTTGTGAATTCAATTCCTGGTACAAAGAAAAAAAGAAAAAAACCTGAGAGGGGCCTCATTTTGCAAGCAGAACAGAGAAGGTATCCTTTAAAGCCTTGAGGCTTTGTTATAGTAGTTTTTTTGGCAGGCTTTTGAGAGTGTGGGTTCAAGTTGATGTGTCCTCTCTGAGGCGCCGACCTGTCCTGGGGACGGCTGGCATAGCCTCTATGACCTACACGTCTCTAAATGAGACCAGACAGCCTCTCTAAGGTGGTGAGTGGTGTCACGCAATGTCTCTGTTGGGGCTCTATAACCTGCTTTAAAGGTTATAGGAAAAGGGGCTCCTTTTCTTGGCTACTTCGTGCTGAGAGTGGCAAGTAAGGGAATTTTTTTTCATGTTTTGGAGAAGAAAGGAGTAGCTGCCCAGGAGCTGGCTGCTATTTTTTCCCTCCCCCAAACCTTTGGAATAGAGTAATTACACAGGGAAGAAAGAGAAGGAAAAGAGTAATATGCATTAAGGGGACCAGGAGGTGTGGAACCAGTGAGGAGGAAGGGCAACAGATCACCGGAAGAGCCCTCCAGGAGTTTGGAAGCCCATTCATGAAAGTGATTGTCTTGGTTACTTTTTGCTTCTTGCTGAGACAAAATACCTGACACTCACAGATATGGAAGGAAAGGTTTATTTAGCTCATGATTAGTGAAGGTTTTAGTCGGTGAACAGCAGGCTCCAAGGCAGGTAGCACATGGCAGAGGGACAACAGTTGAAGGCAGCAAAATACAGCAAAAGCAACAACAGAAAAAAACCCAAAAAACAAAAGAGCAAGCCTCTTTGGCCCCTTATATGGTAAGCAGGGTACCCTCCTGGGGCAGGTGTAGCATCCACACCATCTCCTTTCCCCCCTTTTGCACAGGCTCAGGATGTTTTATAAAGCGAGGACCCTGGCCCCATGCTGAGCCACTCAGTTAAACTTCTAAACTTCTCAGGTTAACACAGCCATAACAGCATATACCCCATCTCAGACAAGGTTGGGTTTGTTGATATAAAATCAGCATTGTTCTTGGAGTGGGGCCCAGATGCCACCCTGGGACACTGTCAGGAGAAAAGCCTCTAGTTCCCAAGGGCAACTGAAGTCAGGAAGTCCACCTGATCTTGCTGGCTGTACAGGTCTTTGAGCCCCTCGGGGAATTCCTTGGCCAGCCTGGAGAACCCTGAAGGAGAGGCTCTAGAGCACCGCCCCCATTCTAGTTCCTGTGGTTACTCCCAGAGTGGCCCTCCAGGAGTAAATTGTTACCATGAGGAAGCTGAGGCACCCTGAGATGAAGTAGAATTGAGGTAGATTTCAGGTTCTGGGACTTTGGAATCATTAGACAGGTGGGAATTAGAGGTAAATATTTGAGTATTATCAGCATATAAGTAAGAGATGTACATCCTCTCCCCTGTCCTCTAGTTTCCCCTTTTATTATTATGCCGTATAAGTGGTTTTTTTTTTTTAATAAACTGTCAAAGCTTGATTATTATCTTTGACTAGTGGTTAATCATCTTGGGAACTTTTAGGAAAAAAAAAAAAAAACCTTAGGCTGTGGTCTTACTCTCAGAGATTCTGACTAATTCATTTAAGGCATGGCCTGTAATAGGTACCTTTTATGGCTCCCCTATTGGAATACATTGTGAAGCAAGCCACATTTGGACATAGTTGCCAATGGCATCAAATCAAAACACAGTATTTACTGATGTTAATCTCTTCTCTACAGCAGAAAAAATGGAAGACCTGCCTGATGTTGCTTCTTTTTCGACTAAACTTAAAAACACCTTGATATTGTACCATAACATTGAAGATGATAAGTGGCGAGTTGCAAAGAAAACGGTAAATTTGTTCAATTGTTTATCGCTTTGATTTGGGGACTGTGGAGTGACTTGGTTGATGAACTCTTCCTCCTCCTTATCCTTTTTATTACAGTAATAGGGGTTGAATGCAGGACCTTTGTACTGAGCTATAACCCTAGCCTTTTTTTCTGAACTTTTTTTTTTTTTAAAGACAGTCTTCCTAAATTGTTAAATTGCCCAGGATGAGCTCAAACTTGTAATCCTCCTGTCTCAGCCTTCCAGAATGCTGGGTTTAAAGGTGTGTGCTTCTGTGCCCTACTGATTTTCCAAATGTTCTGAAAAAATGTAGGCAAGAGGCTGTGGCTACACAAGACAGATAATTGTGCCGATGGGTTGTGAAAGAAGCATTTCAGCAATAATCCTGTGCTACTTTCATTAACTCTTCAGGTATCAGACCTGAATGGATAATAATTACATTATTATCATAGTTATCATAGCAACTAGACCCTAAAAAGAACAGCTTTTTAGTCAGTATCTAAAATACATCATTATCAGTTTAAAGAATGACAGTAATTGTTAATTTGGAGTAGTTCAGATGCATCACGTAGCACGAAGCCGTGAGGGCTGCAGTTCATATTCGTGCTCACCAGCTTGGCTTTCCCAAGCCATTACGTAGTGCAGCGCTAGCACACCGAAGCCTGCAAGGCAGGACTCTTCTAGTCCTGGCTGCTCAGGAACTGTACTGCTCTAGTTATTCCAGTAGTCAGAATTGCTTGGGAAATGATTCGCAGAAAAAATTAGGGACTAATTCAAGATAATATAGTGAATGTGAATGATTTGGGTTTTTTTTTTTAAAGGTGTGAGCAGATTGAGAATGAGATATTTAATGTTCTAATGGCATACTTTGAATGTCAGTAATTGTAAATAGATAAGATTGGAATGAAGCAAATAATAACGGCCACTAAGATAGAGATGTCCCTGAATCTTACATTGTTTGAATCTCATTAAGCTACTGAAAAATCTTTTCTGAAGGTCTCTAATTTAAGCATAGTATGATATGGAGGAAACTCAAATGTGCATCACTGTATAGCATAGATAACTTTTAAATTTTATTTTAGTGTTCTAGATTTGCAAAATTGTTGGTTTTGTATCCAAGGTTCCACATATGTAATTATTCTCATATAATCTTATTTTTCTAGAAAGATGTAGCAGTTTGGAGAAAAGCTTCAGAAGAATTTAATGGATATCTGTAAGTGAATTATCAGCTTTTTATAGTTCCTAAAACATCACTAAGCCTCATATACATGCATGATACTAAATAATCATTGCTAGTAAGATTTGGCCTTTACTTAAGACCAAATATTCAATTCTAAATATAAGATTGTGAATGATTTTGTTTTTCCTTTGTGCTTTTCTGAA